CGGGGGGCCCACGGGGGGGCCCCCAGGGGGGGGGCCCCCGCGGGGGGGCCCCCTGGGGGGCCCCCGGGGGGGCCCCACGGCTGGGCCTCGGGGCCGTGGGGTGCAGCGCAGCAGGACTGGGGGCCCCCGTAATGCTGGAGTATGAAGTGCGGGAAAAGGGAGAAGGGGGTTTAGAAGTGGTTTATAAACATGATTGGCCAGGAAGATATTTTCTTTTTGTTTTTTTTGAGGGTTTGCCAATTGCGGGGGCCCCCTTTGAAGTGCTGCTGACCTCGGGGGCCCCCTGTCCCCTGGCCACGAGGGTTTCGGGCTGCGGCAGCAGAATCTGCTTCGCCTCTGCTGCGCTGCAGCCAGCAGCAGCAGCAGCAGCAGCAGGCCCAGCAGCAGCAGCAGCAGCAGCAGCGGGGGAGGAGGACTTGGAGGAGCTGGAGATTCTTCCTAAAGAAAGAAAACAGAAATTCAAACACTTCATCAACCAGTTCGACCTCATCGTCTGCGACGCCAACGGTCCACAGACCCTAAACCCTAAACCCTAAACCCTAAACCCTCGCGTCCAGCTCGTACTCTCCGCCAAAACTCCACACCCGAAACCCTCAGCCCCAAACCCCAGCTTGTAGCTCTGCTTTGCTACCCCTCTTCAGGACTTAGGGCCCAGGGTTTAGGGTCTAGGGTTTAGGGCTTAGGGCTTAGGGCTTAGGGCGAAGGGTTTAGGGTTTAGGGTTTAGGGTTTAGGGTTTGTGCGGGTGCAGGGAACCGCGTCGCAGTGGGGGGCCACTGCGTGTCGGTGCGAGGGTCTGAGGGCGCGAGGGTTTTGAGGGTTTGCGACGAAGGCGAGGGTTTGTATAAAGTGTTTTATGTGGTTAGGGCCCCGCAGCAGCTGCTGCTGGCAGCAGCAGCAGAACACCTGCGGCTGGCGGACACAGTGGCGCAGCAGCTCACGTTCCAGCAGCAGCAAGCCTCCACTGCGCTCGTTCGCCAGTGCCAGGCCCGCAAACCCTAAACCCTAAACCCTAAACCCTAAACCCTAAACCCTGCAGGCTAAACCCAGGAGCAGCGCCGCGGGCACGTGCCTCCGGGCGCCAAGTGCACAAACCCTGTCTTTTACGCCGCGTGCTGCAGATTCAAATCCGGGCACTAGGGTTTAGGGTTTAGGGTTTAGGGTTTTGGCTTGGGGGTTAGGGTTCAGGGGTTAGGGTTCAGGGTTTGGCGTTCAGAGTCCAGGGCCTACGATTCAAGACTTAGGGTTTAGGGTTTAGGGTCGCGGGCCTAGGGTTTGACGAACATGAAGGGTTCGGAACTAGGGCTTAGGGTTTGGGGTTTAGGGTTTAGGGTTTAGGGTGTAGGGTTTAGGGTTTGGCGTGCGGGTGCAGAAGCTGCAGAAGCAGGGTTTGCTGCCGTTCACGAGCTGCCGGCTGGACATTTTTCTTTTTGAAAAACCAATTTTGTCTTCTCCATTAAAACCCTTAATAGCGAATTTGGAGGAGGTGCAGCAAATGTACAAAGCAGCAGCAGCAGCCACCAAGATCGGCAAGCCCAAACCCTAAACCCTAAACCCTAAACCCTCGCGCCCACAGCCAGGCGCCCCCTGCCTCCCAAACCCTAAACCCTGAACCCTAAACCCTAGGCTCTTGAAGGAGAGGAGGCGCGCGGCCCTCGCTGCGGAAAGGGTCTGCCGGGTTCCAGGGTTTAGCTTCTAGGGTTTAGGGTTTAGGGTTTAGGGTTTAGGGTTTTGTCTCAGGGGCCTCAATCAATCTTTTTGAGAAGTGTTTACGGGAGGGACTTCATGACAAGGCAGCTCGCATCCTGGAGGCGGTTCAGAACACCTTTACTTCTCAAGAGGTAAACCCTAAACCCTAAATCAGCGTATTACGCAAACCTAGTAAACTAAGCATTCCTGGCTGGCCCTTCGCCGAGCTCGTTCTGCTGCTGAGGTTCTCACAGCCATGCAACGTAGATTAGAGCGGTTTAGGGTTTAGGGTTTAGGGTTTGCGCAGACACGGCGGGAGGTTGAGGAGGGTTTGGCTCGGATAAAGTTGGGAGAAGCCCTTGGCGAGGGTTTAGCAGCGCAGCTGCAGCAGGAGGCGGAGGAGGAGCAGCAGCTGCAGCAGCAGCAGCAGCAGCAGCAGCAGCAGCTGCCGCTTTCTCTTAAAGAAAGAGAAG